TTGGTCTTAAAGATCTTACCCACAAACCAGCGGGGGGATTAAGGTATGTCGCTGGTACATCCAACCAGCCGTGAATACTGTACCAACGATACTAGGCCTAAACTAAGTACGTCGTACGAAACTAAACTAGACACTACGAACAGATAAACCTAGACTTAACGCACGGTCTGGGCAGAAGAATAAAACGAATTATCCTGTAACCGTGGTTCTATAAGGCATAATAAATACAGTACATGACTTACGAATAGGTTTTGCAATCGTAATGCAAGTGGGCAGAAACTGTGCAGCGTGGGGCGGATCGAGTATTTGGGCAGTGTCACAGTAACATAATAATAAGAAGGACCTTGAAACCTCAAGGATGTGTCAGTGATGGAGTGTAAGAAATAAATATGCGATATGTTAACAGCTTGTAAAACACAGAAAAGCAGTGTAAATGTGCAAGACAATCAGGGAAAAGAGATACCGTGTCCTCATGTAAGCAATCCAGTTTGGGGATACATCAAAGTTCCTTTTGGACTTTACAAATACAAAGATCGTCGACAGCCAGGAGGCTCATTCACTTTAGTGTTCGATAACAGTTCACGCAGAAGCAGGTGGCCAGCAAGGTTTTTCACCCACCCTCCGTTAGGTACTCACTCCTGTAACCAGAAGTGAGTGGGCAGTCGCATTATAGCAGATCACATTGACTTTGACAAAATGCATACGAGTTCTTCTGGTATTTGGTGGAAAACCAGATGACCTGCCCAGAACTCCCCACGCTCTGAGACGTAGCCTCTGATTGTCCATAAGTGCTTATTTATCACACTCGCAAAATAAACGGGAATTAATCGCAGTTACCTCCACAATGAAGGCTATCCCCATTCCGCAATCTGTGGACGTGCTCGATAGCGTACAACTCCGCCACGGGACGACGAGATCATCCAACTTTGTGTTGACCGTTTTTGAACTTTTAACTTGCTCTGCTCAAACGGTAGACGAAGTTGGTCTAATCACTCGAGTGGTGTTGTGAAGGTTGTCAGGAAGGTTGGATCATCGTCTATCAGCACCTGTCTGGTAGAATATTTAAGATCTCCCCTCGCGAATTCTTTGGTCCTGCTGAACGCGTCCGTGTATCCCCTAAACTCGGTAGCTCGCAAATCACTAATTGCTTCGTACGTATTGCAACCTGACATCCACGCTTGTTTGCACCTGTTTACTTGTTCTGGTCTTGATTATGGTCGATCCCGAACATAGTTCAATTTTATGTCAAACTGTTTAGCATGTCGTTGAAAAAACTGCAGTCTCGCACTTAAATCGTCAAGCGTTACGCAAGCATTGGGAAGCAGTCTGTGCGACTGAAGAACCGCTATCACCAATGCATTTCATTTGTTCGTCAACAGCAGGGCACACTTTGATGGCTGATAACCATGTATTTTAACTCGCTCGGATCATCAAGGTTATTTTACTGTATTGTCTCAGCCAGGTTTCACCACCATATAAGATGGTTGAACGGACGGCTGCACTATACACGTTAACTTTCAGGGAGAGAATGATGTCGCGTCTGCGCCACAGGTGGCAGAGATTGGCAAAAGCACCTCGAGCTTTTGCTATACGGTTCGTAATGTCGGCTTTCATCCCACGGGTGCTAATATAGCTGCCCAGATATTTGAATTCCCGAACGACTTCTAGCTGATCACCACCAAGTGTGCGCGCAGGGATGGGTCCCTGCCAATATTGGAGAAGAATTTTGCACTTCGATGGAGCAAAGCATAGCGCAAAACGATTAACAGCAGTGCTAATCAGTCCAGTGCTGCTTGGCATGTTTGGGAGTTGTCTCAGCTTAGGGCAATATTGTCCGCATACTCCAAGTCAAGAAGTCGCTCACCAGGATGTAGCTCCACACATGTAGCTCCAAATTTTTATGTCGTGTCCAGCAAATGTTGTTTCCATAACTTCGTCAACTGCACAGTTACAGAGGAAAGTTGATAGCGGGCAACATTGTCTCACACCGCTGGAGATATTGAAGGGCATCGACAGTTTGACATAAACCCTCACTCTGCTCGAACTATGCGCGTACAGCTCTCTGATAATGTTTACATATGTATCGGGCACACCATTTCTCAGCAGACAGTCCCAAAGGGCACATCGATCAACTGAATCAAAGGCACCTTTTCTGTCGAGAAATACGACGACGATGGGTCGCCAGTAACCATGCCGGTGCTCCAACTATTGACACAAAGTTAGTTGTGGTCGATGCAGCCTCGGTTTCGACGAAATCCAACTTACTCTTTGCGTCTCTTGCCTTCACTAACCCCAGTAAATCCGTGGAAAACGACAGAGGCAAGCAATTTAGATCAGACTGATCCCTATATGGTTGCCACATTCCGGACAGGAGCTTCCCTTAAAAATTGGGAATATGACGGAGCAGCTTTAGTCTGTCGGGACAGTTTCCTGCTCTCAAAGTTCCATTAGCAACTCGTGTAAATCATCCACAAAAGCAGGTCCGCCGAATTCGTAGAGAGCTGGGAAAATTCTGTCTGAACCAGCGGCCTTATGCAATTTCAACAGTCTGAGCTCACCTTCGACTACTATGTGTGAAGACGGATCTAAGGAGGCGGCACGTGGAGAAGGGCACTCAATGCTCGAAAGAGAAAGCTATAACTCAGATTGGTTAAATTGCCTTGCAGTGTTCGGCCCAACGCTCCAAGCCTTTTGTCAAGCTGTGGATCGGTTGTCCACTCTTGTCGCGTATTGTCTTGCTAACACCAAGTATCCTGCCGCCCATTTGCCATATCAGACGGAATAACTTGTGATGATTACCAACGGCAGCGTATGTTTCTATTTCCGATGCACGATGAGACCATCGGGCTTCGCGGTCTCTCTTCAGACTAGCACGCGGTTTTGACCTGGGATTTTTACGAGTCTCATTGTATTCGCTTCCAACCGGAATACGTCGGCGAGCATCCTTTTCAGAGCCTTTGTAGAGCCCTAATGTTTAGGTTGGCAATTTGATTTGATTTGCCACATGAAGACCTGCTTACTGATAGTAACCTTTGACGAGTATGCGACCGATGATCTTCGTCGGTGTTCAGCCCATATGCCAGCGTAGTTTGATACGCATTCAGGACACCTGGCTTCGTCAGCTGGCTGGTGTCAATGTGCTCAGAACGACAATGTGGACGTCTGCCTAAACGTACCCGCAGGTCGGCACACACGAGAACGTGATCGGAGTCCACGCTGATGCTCCAGATCGAGCGACAGTTTTGGATACAGCCTTTCTGGTGGTAACTAATCGCGATGCGATCGATTTGCGTCCATGGCTGACCCGAGGCTGCTGGGCGCCAAGTCACTCTTCTGCGGGTGCTATGTCAAAAGTTAGTGCTCGCGAGAGAGACGAGCACCTTCACACAGATGTAGCAACCGCTCACCGTTTTCATTGCGGCAGCCTAAGCCATGTTGGCCGCTCAGACGACGCTAATCAGAGGATAATTTTCCGACTTGGGCGTTTAGATCACCAGCAAGCACCACAGTATCTGTGCTTTACTGCTACGAAGGACATCGATAAGTTGGTGATAGAATGCATCTATCACCGAACGAGTGCTGCAATTTGTGGGGGAGTAGGCTGCAATGACAAACAGACACCGTTTATCCCTGCGCGACTTCGAAGCCTGGAATGAAGCAGTCAACGTAACGGCGCGGATCCGGTTGTTAACTGGGATCCAACTGAGCAGGGCAGCCCCAGCCCGGGGACTCAAATAATGCCGACGCCAGCTTGACCGGCACTTGAAGCTGCGTCATCTCAAGAGGGACGCAATGAGAATGTGCCGCCAGTGTCTCATGCGCAGGATCGCAACGTAAGCACGATGCTCGAATCTTGCAGACGGGTTTCCAATAAACAGAAAATATGGATCGATAGGGTCACTAGTGTTCGGGCAACTGCTGCTTGTTTGCCCATCTGTAGCAAGGTGCGCACGTTGAGGCATGCCAGTCTTAGCGAGGGTCGAGGACTCCAGGGAAACGGATGAACTGACCTTATTCGCTCGGTTGAACACGAACTGGGGCGACGCCCTGCGATTGTTGAGTCGAAACTAGAAGATAAACGAATATTGAACCAAGCTGGGGGAGGGTCAAGAATTGGGGAATAGAAAACAAGGGCGATAAAAGTGAGGTTGGAGCGAGACGCTAAGGTTGAAAAAGCGCAAAAGAGGGAAAGAGCAGACGGCAAGGCCTGAGCATTAGCAGCAGATAGAGCGTCGTTTATTACCCTCTGCGACGACCAGGGCATCATGAGACTGTTGGAAGAAAAAGACGATGTGTTGTTTTGCGCTGGCAGGATACTGCAAGGCTGCCCAAAGCTAGACAGGAAAACGATTAAGGTTCTTAACCAAAGCCTTTGGTTCAAAACCTGACTATGAGGCAGCGGAGTTTTGGCAATGGGCTACAGAAAGTCCTTTTTATGTAGTAGGGAGCCACCCTCGCTCCAACCCGCAACCTGAAGGGTCGGGAGACTGAGTTTGTCTGGTCTCTAACCTTTGACCAATCTGGTATGAGTGGCTCTGAAGGGGCAAAAAGCACCATCCAGCATAGCTCAATGGATCACTGGGGCACGCAAACCATCACACCACGTTAAGGTCCAGTCTCATGGCGATGGACATTAGACGTAGTCGATGGTACTTGCGGTGTGCGACTCCAGTGCCTTCATCTGGTAGCTATCGGCCGATATGGCCGTTGCTAGACTTGGTACAACTTCCGTCTTGTAGTGCCTTCAACTGTGTACGGTACTTCGGTTCTTTGTTCTGTACTTGATGTCTTTTTTTATTTTTTTGCACGCCTCTAATTTTTCAACGAAAAGTCGAAGGGTCATCACGCGATAGTTTCTTTCAGTCTGCCGCTTTCTGAATTACTCTTTAAATTGGATGCTTCACTGTGCTGGAAACATATAAGTATAAACTCAGTTCCAGCTCATCCGCACAGGGTTCCTTGTGACCAGTTTCTTTTTCCACTTACCCGGATTTTTACAGGCCTGTTTGCTGTGCCCGACCAAAGCGCATATCGATATACTGTTCTTCGTGGGTCTCTTGACGGTAGACGTTATTTGGTTCTCGGCAATCAAGGGATTTTTCACCGTTCTGTGAGTTCTGCACATGCTCTTATTAATCGCTTCCGTAAAGGTGTTTTACAGTCCATAGATCTCACGACTAAACGTTTGTGTTATGCCGGCCCGTGGTCAAAAGGATAAGATGCCTGACTTGAAGCTTGGAGGTCGCGGGTTCGAGCTTGTGTAAGGGACCAGACGACCCTCGCAGTATCCTTCGCCATCGCGCGACTAGTGACGATTTCCTGACAGAGAAGCGGCTGTGCGGCATGCTGCTGATACCTTTTTTCCTCTGTGTTAGTGTTGCACCGTGGCAAAATTGAGCAGACTGGCTTACTTATCAACACAAACCACTTGACTGACGCTTGTTAGCACCCTAGCTGGCATTAGCAGTAGTGCCGCCAGACGACCGAGGTACCTTGCTGTCGCGAAAAACTGCTATCAATGTGGTCTTATGTTCTCACTTCTCGAGCTACTCTCTGTTTAGTTTCCCTCCGGACCTGTTCTCTTGGCATCTATTGCATAAGCTTTGAGAAACGCACGAAATTGTTCTGCCTCGTATCCTTACGGTTCGTCACTTCTGTACGCATCTTCCCTCGTCAAAACCATCATGGCCAATACCCATTCACTGTTGCTCGTTCTTTTGAGCGGTTTCCCTCGCCCCACAGGGTGCACATGTTTGTTCCTGCTTATCCGCACTCATTCCGAATTGAACTGCCCCTTCATTTCTCATCCTCCAGTCTGGACTTCTTTCATCGTAGTACTTGACTGCTGTTTTCCCTGTTTCTCACTCTATTCTCTCTCTTCGTTGTAATCAAAGTGAACAAAACCTGTGATGTAGGGATGTGATGCAGTTTAATTTGACTCATTCCTCTCTCTTCTGAAAGCGGTGTTTTGCGCCTGTATTTACCTGAGTTATCGTGCTTTTCTCCGGGGGTTTTGTCACGTACAGTCACTCACCAATCACCTTCTGCTCTGTTCGCTAGCTCGAGTTTGTTACATTAGCCGACCGTCCGAATGCTGCTGTGGAATTAGGTCACCAGATGTATCAACTGTCCGCTGCGCCTAAAGGCATCCTCATGGTCTACACGGCTGCATGTTATGCGGACACAAAAATCGCCTTGAGGGGGACAGTGAGACGCTTGGAAAATACATCCAGATACATGTTTCCACTAAGCCTTTGGAGTGATTGTACTGCTTGGCTAAGGAACTGTTGGACCTTATACACCAGCGACAATGTGCACTCGGCTAAATTACTCCTATACAGCCATGCCTAGAACCACTATCGTAACCGGTGCACATCTGGTAGAGTCCTGTGCAACATGCATAGCACATCAAGGTTACATGTTACTTCTATCACTTTCATCAGCGACTGGTCCATACACACACCTTCATCTCCGCACGCTGATTGAAGAGATTACCGCATTTTCTCTTTCACCAACTCCTGCTTCCCGAACTCATGTATGTGGGGACGCAGAAACCCAATTCCCTTGTCCTATTCTACTGAGCCATATCTGTTGCCCGTAAGGTTGGCCATACTCCCCACTGTTGTGCACACATATCAACCTGAACAGGACACTAACATCTCACTGCACAGCAGTCGCGATGCTCATACACGCCGGTTAGGATGCTGCAGGAACACCCAAACTGCAGGGACTCGAACTGAATGCAGGCCGGACACCGGAACCACCACACCAGTAGCTGCAAGCTGCTCTTCGGTGGTGACATTCGAACGGTGCTCTACCATCGACCTGCTTCTTGGGATCTACGACTCGAGGTTTAAAATCTGCATCTATCCCAACCGAGTCGGAGCATCAATGTCCGGCTGCTCACAGTCACAGGCATTGAATGCATAGCACTGTTTCGATGAACCTTGATGCTTGATTTGATAGACCGCGCGCCATATTAAATCCCTACACCATAGCATAGCTGTGTTAAGTTGACGAAGAAGTCTCGGTTTTGTAAAAACATGTGTAAAGCTTTCACGAAATCGATTTGTATTCGAATCCGTCTCATGAATTCTCAATCGAATTCTATCAAATTTTGAGACGTTGAACTTCCTGTTCTATTGTCAGATTACTCACTTGTGATATGGAGCGTTATTTGGCATGTGTGCTTCCATTACCAATCATATCGTTGCAAATCTGCGTGTTTGTGTACGTCCGCGTCTTCATGCACACCCTGTTGCTCCATGGATCATTCTTCCGCTGCACCGCGGTTATCTGTTTCTGTCACTCACCCACCTCAACATGCCACTTGTCTTTTTGCTACCAATCTATTTTATCCGTTACCAACTGAATCCCATTTCCATGATTCTACTCCCGAGGGTTCTGTTGACGACCACAGAGCTGGCCCAGTGGCACTCCTTCGTCCTCCGTCCATCTGGCATGCTTTAATGTAGGCACACTCATGCAGATCGGGAGGCAGGTTAGTCTTACGCGCACCATGGAATCCCTCGCCATCGATGTTTACTGTCCTTCCGAAGCCCGATTGCTAAATACCAGTATTGTGATTGGGTTGAGATCTCCCACCGACCACGGCTTGATATTTCACTTACATCTATCTGGTGACACGGAAGCAGCCGCGGCAGGCTTGGCTAGCGTTGGTGTAACACTAAGTAGCAAAGCCGAGGCAGCACTGCTGGACTGGCTCCCGATTAATAGCCGACAGTGTACAGTTCGGCTTCTGTGTCAATGCAAGATGACCAGACCTTGTAAGGGGAGACGCAACTTGTCTGTGATCTGTGTGTACGCTCCAACCGACGGCAGTGGTGACTCGGTCAAGGACAAATTTTTATCGTGAACTTCACAAGCTCTTGGGTAGAGCTTGCGAACCCGATATTCTTGTGCTTGCTGGGAATCTAAACACATGGGTCGGTTGTCTATTGCCATGCATAAATATATATATATATATCCAATTTTACCAATTCACAATTTTGCCAAATAGTAATTGGCAGAGTGTTGCAACACATGATAACCACAAAACGAAGAGGAGAAAAGGCAGTAAAGGGAAGGAATACGGAAGTTTCTATTGTGTGCAGAATGTTTTTCGGTTAATCAGGCGGAGGAAGTGAATTGACTTTAGGGACCCCGATCAGAACCTTTGGTCATAAAGACCTTACACACAGGCCAGCGGAGTGATTAAGATATGCCGCTGGAACATCCAACCAGCAGTAAATACGAAGATTGTGGACAGCCAGGTGGCTCATTCACCTTAGTGTTCGGTAACAGTTCACGCAGAAGCAGGTGGCCAGCAAAGTTGTTCATTCACCCTCCGTTAGGTACTCACTCCTGTAACCAGAAGTGAGTGGTCAGTCGCCCTATAGCCGGTCACATTGACTTTGACAATGCATACGAGCTCTTGTGGTATTTGGTGGAAAACCAGATGACCTGCCCAGAACTCCCCACGCTCTGAGACGTAGCCGCTGATTGTCCATAAGTGCTTATTCATCACACTTGCAAAATAAACGGGGTTTATTCGCAGTTACCTCCACAATGAAGGCTATCCCCATTCCGTAATCTGAGGACGTGCCCGATAGCGTACAACTCCGCCACGGGACGACGAGATCATCCAACGTTGTGTTGATCGTTTTTAAACTTTTAACTTGCTCTGCTCAAACGGTAGACGAAGTTGGTCTAATCACTCGAGTGGTGTTGTGAAGGTTGTCAGGAAGGTTGGATCATCGTCTATCAGCATCTGTCTGGTAGAATATTTAAGATCTCCCTTCGCGAATTATTTGGTCCAGCTGAACGCGTCCGTGTATCCCCTAAACTCGGTAGCTCGCAAATCACTAATTTCTTCGTACGTATTGCAACCTGACATCCACGCTTGTTTGCACCTGTTTACTTGTTCTGCTCTTGATTGTGGTCGATCCCGAACAAGGTTCAATTTTATGTAGTTGGAAAAGCTGCAGTCTCGCACTTAAATCGTCAAGCGTTACGCAAGCATTGGGAAGCAGTCTGTGCGACTGAAGAACCGTTATCACCGTATGTTCGTCAATAGCAGGGCACACTTTGATGGCTGATAACCACGTATTTTAACTCGCTCGGATCTTCAACGTTATTTTACTGTATTGTCTCAGCCAGGTTTCACCACCGTATAGGAGGGTTGAACGGACGACTGCATTATACACGTTACTTTTCAGGGAGAGAGTAATGTCGCGTCTGCGCCACAGGTGGCGGAGATTGGCAAAAGCACCTCGAGCTTTAGCTATACGGTTCGTAATCTCGGCTTCCATCCTACGGGTGCTAATATAGCTGCCCAGATACTTGAATTTCTGAACGACTTCTAGCTGATCACCACCAAGTGTCAGCGCAGGGGCGGGTCCCTGCTAATATTGGAGAAGAATTTCGCACTTCAATGGAGCAAAGCATAGCGCAAAACGGTTAACAGCCAGTTCTAATCAGTCCAGTGCTGCTTGGCATGCTTGGGAGTTGTCACAGCTTAGGGCAATATCGTCCGCATATTTCAAGTCAAGAAGTCGCTCACCAGGATGTAGCTCCACACATGTAACTCCAAATTTTTAAGTCGTGTCCAGCACATGTTGTTTCGATGACATCGTCAACTGCACAGTTAAAGAGGAAAGTTGACAGCGGGCAACATTGCCTCACACCGCTGGTGATATTGAAGGGCATCGACAGTTTGCCATAAAGCCTCACCCTGCCCAAACTATGCGCGTACAGCTCTCTGATAATGTTTACATATGTATCGGGCACACCATTTCTCAGCAGACAGTCCCAATGGGCACATCGATCGACTGAATCGAAGACACTTTTTATGTCGAGAAATACGACGACGATGGGTCGCCAATAACCATGGCGGTGCTCCAACAATTGACGCAAAGTGAGTTGTGATCGATGCAGCCCCGATTTCCACGAAGTCCAACTTGCTCTTTTTGCGGATCTGGCCTTCACGAACCCCAGTAGATCTGTGGAGAACGACAGAGGCCAGCCATTTAGTGGCAGTTGAGATCAGACTGATCCATCTACGGTTGCCACATTCCGAACAAGAGTCTCACTTGAAAAAATGGGAGTATG